TCAATATCTTCATCAACAGTGTAGATATTGGCATAGAGAGTATGCTTATTAAGTTTGCAGATGATACCAAGCTGGGAGGGGTTACAAGTGATTTAGAAGATAAGGTCAAAATTCAAAATGATCTGGACAAACTGGAGAAATGGTCTGAGGTAAACAGGATGAAGTTTCATAATGAAAAATGCAAAGCACTCCACTTAGGAAGGAACAATCAATCTCACACTTACAGAAAGGGAAGCGACTGTCTAGGAAGGAGTACTGCAGAAAGTGATGTAGGGGTCATAGTGGATCACAAGCTAAATAGGAGTCAACAGTATGACACTGTTTCAAAAAAAGCAAACATGATTCTGGGATGCATTAACAGATGTGTTGTGAGCAAGACACAAGAAGTCATTCTTCTGCCTATGCTGATTAGTCCTCAGTTGGAGTATTGTAAACAGTTCTGGGCACCACATTTCAAGAAAGATGTGGAGTAATCGGAGAAGGTCCAGAGAAGAGCAACAAGAATGATTAAAGGTCTAGAGAAGATGACCTATTAAGGAAGACTGAAAGAATTGTGCTTGTTTAGTTTGGAAAGGAGAAGACTGAGAGGGGACATGATAGCAGTTTTCACATATCTGAAAAGGTGTCTCAAGGAGGAGGGAGAAAAATTGTTCTCCTTAGCCTCTGAGGATAGGACAAGAAGCAATTGGCTTAAATTGTAGCAAGAGAGGTTTAGGTTGGATATTGGGAAAAACTTCCTAAATGTCAGAGTGGTTTAAACTGGAATAAGTTGCCTAGGGAGGTAGTAGAATCTCCATCTCTGGAGATATTTAAAAGCAGGTTAGATAGAGATCTGCCAGGGATGGTCTAGACAGTACTGGGTCCTACCATAATGGCAGGGGACTGGACTCGATGACCTCTCGAGGTCCCTTCTAGTTCTACTGTTCTTTGATTCCCATTCTGTGTGTGTGAAATGGATTGTTCTTTCTTAAGTGAAGTACTTTGCATTTGTCCTTATTAAATGTTATCCTATTTACCTCAGACCATTTCTCTAGTTTGTCCAGATCATTTTGAATTATCACCCTATCTTCCAAATCACTTGCAACTCCTCCCAGCTTGGTATCATCTGCAAACTTAATAAGCGTACTCTCTCTGACAATATTTAAATCCTTGGTAAAGATATTGATCAGAGCTGGTCCCAAAACAGACCCGTGCAGAGCCCCACTTGTTATGCCTTTCCACAGGATTGTGAACAATTAATAACTACTCTCTGAGAATGGCTATCCATACAGTTATGCACCCACCTTATAGTAGCCCCATCTAGATTGTATTTGCCTAGTTTATTGATGAGAAGGTTATCCAAGACCATATCAAATGCTTTACTAAAGTCTAGGTATACCATGTCTACCACTTCTCTCTTATCCACAGAGGGATAGCTTGTTATCCTATCAAAGAAAACTATCAGATTGGTTTGCCATGATTTGTTCTTTACAAATCCATGCTGGCTGTTACCTATCATCTTATCTCCCAGATGTTTGAGGCTGAATTCCTTAACTACTTGCTCCATTATCTTCTGTGGCATAAAAGTTAAACTGACTGGCCCTATATTTGCCCTTTTCCAATCTGCTCCAGAATTTGCTTGCTGTAGCCCTTGACCGGGGTGGGGAACCTTTTTTTGGGCTGGGGGCTGCTGACCGATAGAAAAATCAGTTGGGTGGAGGGTAGTGGGGGTTGGCGTGCCAATATGGGCTCCCCAACGCTGGGGGAGGAGCTGTGAGCCCTGGAGGCCACATCCAGGCAAGCCAGGGACTAAATCTGGTGCCTGGGCCTTAGGTTCCTCACCCATGCCCTAGACTCTGGCTTCTCACCCTGCTTTGTCTTTGACTCTGCTATTTGTTTGTTACTTGCAACTTGTCACCTGAACCTGACTCCTCCACAGTCTGGGCCAGCTCACTCCCACCTGCTACTCATTTGCTCATCACAATTTAGCAGCTGACATGTGCACACAGCCTGCCCACTTCCCATTCCTGACTCCATCAAAGTACAGCTGTGTGACTAAGTGCTTTTTCAGTTCAGTGCTCATACCAAAACATCTAACTTTAGAAACAGACATTGTTTCAGATTGAACAAAATTTACTTGATTTTGGAGATTTTAAAACTTTTAAAAATAAATTGAAGTAAATTTTGAATAGAAAAGTCTTTTGAATATTTTCTAAATAGAGTATTTTAATTTTTTATTTAAAACTTTTTTTATGTGGGATGTTAGAGGAGAGAGAGGTTTCAACCAAAACAATTCTGCAAATTCTACACACAGTTGTGTTGACTCTTTCAGAGAAAGTGAGTAAGAGGGAAGAAAATCTGAACAAGAAAATATTTCCTTACACAGTGCACAGCATTCACTGGTCTTGAAGGTCAGTTAAGTCTTGTGGGTGATTTTTTTTTAAAGGAAGACAGGATTTTGCAACTAATGAGAGCCATTACATTTTTTGCATGATAAATTAAGCCTCACATGGCTAGATTCAAACTGCTGGAATACAGAATTCTGGAAGGCTTTTTTCCTGTTTTTTGCATAGCATTGCACTGCAGGCTACGTGCATCAGGAAGGATTTGAGGCTTTCTTTGAAGCAATATAAAACAAACAATGCTAGACTGTATGATCTAGTTTGCAAATCTTATAGGCCAGGTGACACCTTTATTCTCTACTAGTAGAAGAGTTGTCCAGGTAAGAGTCAGGTGTCTTTTTGACATTGTCTTCTTGCCCTCTTTTCTAGGACACTACAGAGGGCTTTCTATTACTGAGGCTGTAGAAACAGTAGTAGCTCCTTGGAACAATCAGGTGAATGAAAGGTACCATGGCAGGCTTTAATGAAGATGCATCATTGATTTAAAAAAAAAAAGGTATAGCTGTTATTTGATCTCACTCATGGTTTCTTCTTAAAATTGTTCACAAGTCCAAATAACCAGAATTAGCCAAACATATTAGCTTAAACCAAAGCAGTAGACTATGAAAAGGAGATACTGTATTTTCTCTTTGGAAGCAATTCTTCTCTCGCAGCATGATTTACCTACACAGAAGATGTTCATCAGTGATATGCAGCATTTCAGCTAGTAGTATTTATAATATGATTTGTACAAGTTACAAAACTCCTCACATTTTACTAAAATCTATGCCATCTGTTTTTGAATGTGTTTTGTTCTGGGATTTTTCTTACGCAGTTCCACAAAATTGACTCCCAGTCAGCTGGGTGTAGAGGTACATCCCAACCTGTGCTAGGATACACCAGTCAAATAACTTGACTTTGACAGACTTCCTATTTTCTAATGCCAAAACTGACTTCAGCTTTACATATTTTGTGGTAAACTTGATTACATCAACAGTCTTGCTTGCTTTTCACCAGAGGTTAACCACAGTCTCTGGCCACTCTGTCTTGTGACAAACCAAAAGGCCAGATTTCATACTAGATTATGTATGAAAAGCCATAGGAGGGGACTTTTTGTTTAAAAATCTTAATGAAGAATCCCAATGGAAGTTATTCCAACTTGTCCCACTAAAGGAGAGGTAGGAAAGGGTGGGATGTGCTCCCCCACTCATATAGGGCAGCCACTCTTAAACCTGATAGAGGTCAAGGAACCTACACAGAAACACTATACCTTCATAGTGTCTGCAATCCCATTGGTGCTGAGGAGGGAAGCGTGTTCTGGAGGCCAATGTCTTAAAATCCTCTAGCTTCATCAACCATGTTTCCCCTGTATGGGCATGAGGAAGCTGCTGAAAGTCACATAGAGCTTGTGGCGGTGTGGAAAACAATGTGTGTCACACCCAGCCACACCTTCTGACAGTCTCTGATTCTTCCCTCATATTAGGCAAGGCTGACCCTTGCTAACATTGAGTTTTAGTCACTAAACAGCTTGTTTTCTTTTGGAACCAAACCCTTTTCTTTTTCTCATGCTTTGTATCACTTCAATTCTCTGTTCTTTATACTAAACTTAAACTTAGTGTTTCTGTATGTCTTAGTGGTGTTATATTGAGTTAAAGCATGAGTCTTCAGTTAACAGGACTAGATATGTGTACTATCTCTTTGGAGGCAGCAAACTTAATAATTTCTATGAATGTAAGAGGGACTGGATGTAAGAGGGACTGGAGACTGCAAAGAGATCTTTCCAGGGATACCGGTTCACTGATTGTTACCTGAAATGCAAGGTTGAGACTAGCAGAGTCTCTCTATGGGTTTGCTGGTAAGGCAGACAAGAAGACAGACAGTCCAAGACCCACCAAAGTATAACCCTTGGGGATACAATGATTCAGTGTTCCGGCTGTCCTGAGGTAAGTGTCACAGCTGGTGTTACACTTATTGCTGCCACAGTGATTATATTAGAGAGAGAGAGAGAGAGAGAGAGACAGACAGACAGACCTTGGAGAACATCAAAATAACAGGAAATCTATTTTTTTGACACATAACAGAAGTGTTCAGTGCCAACGTCAACAGCTAATCATGTGAAGGGAATGACCTCAAAATTAAGTCACTTTGAATTTTTTGTTGATGATGTAGCTTCTCTGAAGGGGAAGGCTATTCAGAAAACACATGCAGCAAACAGTATGTGAGCAATGACGGGACACTGAGGTAGTGGATGAATTTGAAGTCAGCCAAGGCAGGTCTCTGCTTCAGGAATCAACAGGGTGTTTATTATCTCATGGCCAAGAGGAGTTTTTTAAATTCATACTACAGTCTGGCAGTAAATCACTTGTCTTCTACATGACATACGACAGAGGAGCCAATGTATTGGTAATGAACAGGAAGAACTGAAGTTCAGCATATACAAAAGGCTGCTTGTGGAGGGTGGTGGAGCTGTTTTTTGTTTTAGCAGCTATCAGCTGGAAGATATTAGAAGCAAGGCAGAATTTCGAACTATACAGAAAATCTATCTTGACTTGCTTTTGGCTTTGGGAAAAACACTTCAGATTTCCATCCTGTGTAATCAGACACCTGCCTATATATGGAACTCTCTTCCCTCCTCCTGTGCACACACAAAGCCATTGTATCTGTGAGATTATTCACACATCTAGCCTGTCAGGGAGCTAGGCAGTTACCTCAGTAAATGTGTACTGACAGGAGTTAACAGCTTTACAAAATAGTACAATATAAGGGATGAGGATGGTGAGAACAGCTGGCCAGGTAAGTTCTTGCCACATTTCTCTTACGTGGTGGCTGTCATATTCATGATTCCATATAAAGGTAAATGTATGAGGTTTCCTAACTTGGTGTTTAAGTACAATTTCTATTGGGCAGGCAGTCATGGGCATTTATGGGGCTTTATAGTTAACTACTACAAAATGTATCAACAGTTGAGCACAAGAAATGAAGTAATGAAGTGATGCTGTCATCAAAGCACCACTTCCTTCATTCCTTTTAAATACAGGTTTTTAAAACTTATTTTAGATTCTCATTCTTGCAGTCCTGATACAGTTATTGTTGGTAAATCAATGAAAATAGAGCACAGGCCACAAAATACACAAGAAACGGGGGAAGGGAAAGCCTATTTCCTTCTTTAATATTGTACATTTAACACCAGTAAATCATTTATTATAATAACAACAACTAAAGTTTAGTTTCATTGTAGGGCAAGATTGTTGCATAATACTTTCCATGTCTTTAGACATTAAATAAACACAGATTCATTTGTGTCCCTGCAATTGTGTACCCCAAATCAAGGCTTCTAGATGGCTAAGTGAATCAAATGTTGAACAACTTATGACTGGATTGAATATTAGGTACTTAATCAATAGGACCAGAATGTGATGTTTGTAATTTATGCCAAAGGTACTTCCTGTGAAATCTGTGTGGCTACTTGTGGTTTAACGTATTTATCAACATGCATAAGGATATCAGAGTTTAGCCCAAGCCATTTGTGACTGAGGACTGATTTGAAGACTGTGGTATGAATTTGGATTCTCCTCTCACACAGGTATAACTCCTGATCTACTTCATTGAATTCAATGGAGTTACAGTCGAGTAAGAGGAGAATAAGGTTACAGATGATTTCTCTGGGACTGATCGCTCATTGATATGAACCATATATAGCTGGAATCCCCAGGGATTCTTTGCTATCTAAAAAGTGATAGTAACAGCAAGAAAAACAAAAGACCATCTAGAAAGATACATGCTGATGAAAAATATCTATAGCTAAAGTTTTGCTGATGGCTTTAATGTATAGCAGTGGACGATTATTCAGTATATTTTCAGTCTTGTTCTCTTCATTAACTATCTGCTGACCGTTTTCTCAAATTTATTTGCTATTCATAAGTGTCACTTCTGAGAATGCCTTTTGGTGTGTAGCTCTTTTCACAAGCAAATTGTTCATTATGAATATCTAGTACAGGCATGTCAAACAGGCCCCTGGAGGGCCGCATGTGGCCTGATCAAATTTTTGATACTACGTTTTGATAAAAGAATAAAGTGTGACCGGCACCGCAGTGACTGCTCACAACTGGCTGGGCCGCTCTGCATTGGGCATTCCAGCACGTGCTCATGGCCGGACGGCCACTCTGCACAGGAATCAAGCGCCTGTTCACAGCTGGCCACTGTGCTCACGCTGCCCCAGCACCTGAGGAAGAAATGTGTGGCAGTGGCGGAGGCTCTGGGACCCAGGCATTAGGTTGTGGGGGCTGGGAGTGCCTGGCTTTAGGGGAGAGGAGGGGAGTAGCATTGGGGGAGTGGAGGAGGATTGGGTTAGAACGGGGGTATGGGAGTGCCTGGCTCTGGGGGAGGGATGAGGCATTGGATTAGAGCAGAGGCGGTCTGGGGGAGCAGAGGGGTATTGGGTTAGAATGGGGGTATGGGAGTGCCTGTCTCTGGGGGAGAAAAGGGGGATATTTTGTTAACATTTTGTTTATTTATTCCCAAATAAAATCACAAAATGTATATTAATTTTATATCAATAAATGTCATTTTTTTTGCAATTGCATGAATATTATATGTTTATGCAAAATCTCAAACTTACAAAGTATCTGAAATTTCCACAGAAGCCTGTTCTATTTGATTAACCACGGTCTATACTTGTTTTTATTTAAACAAAACAAGTTACGTATCATATAAAAAAAGTACCTTAAATATATATTTAAATTAAGAATTATTTTATATGGGCAAATAATTTTACATATCAAATTATTGTATTATATAAAAACAAGACCTGAAAAATTATAAAATATACCTAAAACATAATCTATATTAATAAATAATTATGACTTTCCGATAGAAGTACATTTTCTTTGGTGGCCCTGAAAGCTATCAGTTTTCATTTGTGCGGCCCTCAGTAGGCTTCAAGTTTGACATGCCTGGTCTAGTATATGAAATTCAAGGTTGATGACTAGATTTGAGTTGGCCTATGGGACACACACTGTGTTTTTGGACTCTGATTGGCTGAGCATAAATTCCAGAAACAGATTTTGGTGCAGGTATTCACATCTACAAATCAAAAACGTGCTTACCACAATTATGCTCAAATATTTGCTAAAAATTTGCTATTTCTGGGAACACTTCCACCAGCAGACTAGTTTGCTTGGAAGTTCACAGAAAACGAATGCAACATGGATATTAACATTATCAAAGTGAATTCATGGAAATGAATACTAATGAATGCTTCTCCCTTGGGGCCCACGCTAGCAGTGAAGAGTCAAAAGGACTGACTCATCTAGATAGCACTGGCTTAAGTCAGGATTAAGTCCATGGATGTCAGTGGAGTTACACTAGCGGACCTGATGAATCAGTCCTATAGCTACTATTATGAGTCTTGATCCAAAGCCCCTACAAATCAATTGGCGTCTCTATTGAGTTTGGTGGGTGGGGGATCACACCTATTCTGATTAATGTGTCATGATAAGACCCACGAGTGAAGATTCAGACATCTCATTTTGGTGGTGATGGGAGAAGAGCAGACTTGTCAGTTGATAATGTCGCACCTTGGTGAAATCAGTTTGTTTTGTATTTGGACAGAAAGCAGAGGCAGACTTTTGTGGAAGTGCTGTGAGCATCCTCGGCACCATCCAGAGAACACTCATCCCAGGGACCTTCCTCTTTATCCTGGTTGTGGGACTAACTTTGAATGTGTCTGTCATCTGGGTCCTTGTGTTCCGGGTGAAGCGCTGGAACAGGAGCACTGTTTTCCTCTGTAACTTGGTTTTGGCTGACATCACTTGGATCTTAACCCTCCCCTTCCTGATCTACTACCATCTCCATCAGCTGCACTGGATCTTTGGAGATGCTCTTTGTAAGATTACCAGGACAATTTACCATGTTTGCTATTACTGCAGCATCTACTTTGTCACTTGTCTGAGTGTGGATCGCTATTTGGCCATTGTGCATCCATTAAAGTCTTTGTGGTTGTTAAATAAACAACAGTCGCTACTGATTTGCCTCTCCATATGGGCAGTAACTAGCTTGGTCAGTGTGCCAATCTCCTATGTTGCCAGCACTCAGATATGCCCAGACAACAAAACTATCTGCTCTCTTTATGTATTTTCCAGCTGCACCTATATAACACTGCCCCTTTCCATGTGCTACACGGTTGCTGGTTGCTTGCTGCCTTTCACTGCTATTTGCTACTGTTACTGCAGCAGTGTCAGGACATTGCAAAAGACTGGCCTTCATCACTCTCAGAAAAGGGATAAGCTCACCAAGATCATGTACTCTGTTCTGATCATTTTTGCTCTCCTTTATTTTCCTTACCACCTGTCACGAAACACCTGCATCTTCTTTAGAGCACTGTGGTCCCATGCCAGTAGGTCTATTGAGCATGCAGATACTGTGTTCTTTGTAGAGATAGCAGTGTGTAGCCTTAATACTTGCATCAACCCTCTCTTCTGTTTCCTGGCAGGTGGGGATTTTCGAGACCAGGTTTGCAAAATAGCCTCCTCTTACTCTCACACCAGAATCTGGAGGACTCTGCAACAAAGGACCTCTGTGTATCCAGCATAATTCTATTCCTCCACAAAACTAGTTGTGTCAAGATGACAACTATGAGCAGAATTTTAGCCCCTTTATAGTCAATGGCAAAACTCTAATGACTTCAGTTGTCAGGAATTCCCACCTTGGAGATGTTTTGATCTCTCAAACTTGTAAGAAGCATTAACTGGGGCAATTTAATTCCAGATACGTGGGAGATGCTTATAAGCAATAAAATTATTTAGTCTAAAATTAGTGAAATAGCCTAGGTCTATTTCATTCAAAACGCTAAAAATTAATGAAGTGGTAAGGAGAGTTGGCTGGAAAATGAAACTAATGGGCTAAAATATTACCATTTCAGAAGGTTGAAAACGGATCCTTTTTTGGTCAAAATTGATCATGACACTTTAAGCAAATGTACCACTGAAAATGTTAACAAAATGACTACCATTGCACCTCCCAAAACCAGGACACTCTGGTCTGGCAACATCCAGGGTCTAGAAGCCTGGTCGCAGAAGGGATGGCAGCAGTGGATCTGGGGTCAGAGCTAGCAGCCCAGCTGCAAGCAGCAAGACTGGCAGCCCAGTGAGGCTGGCAGGAGGGGAGCCAGACAGCAGTCCAGTGTGGCCAGTTGTGGGGGGAAGCAGCTGGGGCTGAAGCAGAGCCAGTGGCAGGAAAAGGGTGGTGGGCAGGGGGTGCTGCTGGCAGAGGACCTCCCCTGGTCCTGCAAATGCCCTCGTTCCAGACCGGTCAGATCCATAGGGTGCCAGACCAGGGAGATCCAACTGTATTGACATTTTTCACTTACCAGAACCCTCGTTCTGATAAACAAATATGTTTGTTTATTGACTCTTTTTTTCCCATTTTTTGAAAATTTCAACATTTTCAATGCTTTTCATATTTTTCAAAGATGTTTTTAAGTATGTAATTTTAAAGGAAAAATTGTATACTGACAATTTTTCAAAAATGCTGTTTTGAAAAAAGTCCATCTTGTAACAAAAAGCTTCTCACTCAAAAAATAAAGTATCTTGGATTCAAGAAAACGTCTGCTTCTGGCAATGATTTCAAAGGGAATAGATGCTTGCATTACTTTTGCTCACCTGCGAAAGTAGAAAGTGCATTTTCCTCTTGCTGAGGCTTCTCAGTCCTCCACTTCCAATTCTACTTCACAAATTATTTACGATTTCTCCATTCTGGTTTCATTGCAGCTACCTGGATTTTCTCCCTGTGCTTTAGGGCCTACAGACAAAAATCAATAAATTGTGATAAGGTTACAAAACCTTTCAAAGATTATTCATTCCAAACATATTGTGGTGGATAACCATCACAGGCTATTTCACTTCTCTAAGGCTGTGTCTACAATGGCATGATTTTGCACAAATACTCTTTAACGCAAGAGTTCTTACGGTAAAGTATTTCCACAAGAGAGCGTCTACACTGGAATGTGCCTTTGCGCAAGAGGTGTGCTTTTGTGAAAGAGCATCCATGCCAGTGTGGACGCTCTCTTGCGCAAAAAAGTGCAGATGACCATTTTAGCCATTGAGCTTTCTCACGCAAGAAATTCATGTTGCCTGTTTACACTGGTCTCTTGCACAAGAACAGTTACACAAGAGGACCTATTCCTGAGCGGGAGCATCAGAGTTCTTGCGCAAGAAGCACTGATTTCACACATTAGAACATCAGTTTCTTGCGCAAGAACTCCCCGCCAGTGTAGACAGGCAGCATGTTTTTGAACAAAAGCGGCCGCTTTTCCACAAAATCATGCCAATGTAGACACATTGCACCCTTAGATCGAAATGAGCTACTCAATTTGAGCTATGCAAATTGCACAGCCTATTTCAAGTTCATTTTGAAATAGTTTATTTCAAATTTTGGCACTGTTTACACAGCGCCAAATTTTGAAATAGAGTGCTATTCCAAAACATCTCTTACTCCTTGCGGGATGAGGTTTACAGGGATGCCAAAATAGCATGCCCATTATTTCAAAATCTATTTGGAAATAGCGGGAGTGCTCAAAAGATGTGGAATAGATATTTTGGGATACTTCCAGTATTCCGAAACAGCACCGCAGTCTAGACATGGAGTAAAAGAACAGATACTGACACATTAGGAGATACTGGGTGTTCAGATGCAATCAGGAACTGAAAAGCTTAGTTTGCACTATTTTCCCTCCTCATCAGCAGAGACCAGAAAGGGCACGATTCTGATCTTCCTTCCAAAGGCATATTTCAATAGAATTATATCAAAATGAAAAGTTTTGCAAGTGAGATCAAAATCAGACCCCACTTTTAGCAATCCTTGTCAACCATTCATTATTCATTTTCATTTCATGTTAATGTATTACTTTACATCTTTCCATTCATTAAGTCTTGGAGAAGCGTGTGAAAAAGGCTAAAATCTCAGCTAATTGCATCCTTACTAAACTGGACACATTCATTAAGAATAAGGACTCACTTTCAGAAGTACTAAACACCCAGAGAGCTCACTCAGTACTTCTGAAATTCAGACCACAAAACTAACTCAAGACAACTTTTGCTTAAAGAGTGGCATTCACCCAAATGCAGGGTTACCACACCTGGCCTTTTGCACCACTTTGTTTCTTTACTATGAAGTGGAGCATAGATAGAATGGCCATTCATGGAGGTTTCTATCACAATATTTGCGAAAGAGAGGCTCCATAAAGTCATTCAGATAGCTTACCAGGAGCAGGCTAGAGAAAGAGACAGTGGATTGGCACTTCTGAGGATCCAGAGCCCCACATTCTGTTCATGGATTTCCAGACCTCACATCCCTGCAGAATTCCCTGCATAAATACTAATGCTCTCTAAGAAGATTCCATTACATATAAGGTAGTGCTTAGTTTCCTGTAGGTGAGTCCCTACAGAGAAATTTGCAGCCTTTCTTATAATTCCTTCCCTTCTGTGCCCCACCAAATCCAATGATTTTTCTCTCACTTGATGTACACTCCCATTACCATTCAGGATTTATGACTTATTCACCAAGCTTCTAGTCAAGGAGGACTGATGGGGGCTCTCTTTGGAGCCTTTTAATACTGCTGCTTAGCTGCACGGGGGTGGGGTGGCTTTTGAATAACAGGCGATTGATTTATTAAGCTTTCTGGAAAAGAACACTCAAGGCACAGTGAATGTGTGAAGCTAAGATGCCCATGCAGACTGAGACAGACTGCAGAGCTTGATACCTTAGGCGTAATGCTAACCAGATGTGAAGGTAGCTCTGGATGATTTATGGTGCACACTGATGATGAGGCATGCACCATGCAGAGGGTGATTAATATTCTTGTCATAAATCATAAAAAGTAGGCATCATGCTATGAAAATCTGTGGGAGCAATGAAACCAACTCAGTTTAGAGGGTGACATAATATTAGACTGTCTGGACCCATGGATTCAATAGAGAGCTTTAGCAGGATAAATGGCCTCCAGGGAATGCTGTTTCCATGAGCTACAAGGTGCCTCCCAGTAGAAGAGTGTGGATGTGAACACAACTGTGCAAACAGAAAGGATTTTTTAGAAAGTATTTGCATCTCAGTAATTCAGATTAGGAGTTTGTGGCTAATGAAGAATTTCAAATTAGTGCTCATAAAAAGCCAGAAGTCTGTTATTGGCATTATTCAAAATTCATGGACATCAATGTGAGCCTATGCTATTAATTCAGTGGATTTTGGACCCTTAGAAAGGAGCCAACAACCAAAAGTCACGGCTGTCTGACAACTTGCTCAGTGTGAAAGGAACTGGTGGTCTCCAATTTTTAGTAGACAAGTGCTGTGTCACAATTGTCTCGAATTGATACGAATCGTAGGAGGCTGAATCTTCTTCAGAAACACTGAATGGGCATGAAGACTGGGCTACTTTCTAAACTTCAAAGGTGGTGACATTATGTTGAGCATATTGCCTTACCACTGTCCATGCAGTCCCTGTTGAGGTGGATAAATTCAGACAGACAGGCTGCATTTGCAGGTCTGTTCATCTTGACACCTTCTGAAAAAGGGATTACATGCAAGTTTGAAAAGTTACCATGGGAGAAACTTAAGCAAAAGAACAAGAAAATAGCAACAATGTTTAACAAGTTACATGCTGCAGGAATTCATTATTCATCCAATGAACTCCCCCCACCCTCTTTATTGTGATCGCAGGACCTCTGGCAGGCAGCTGTAATGCTGCATTTGCAGAGCTCAGATGGTGCTCTCTCCTGTCTGTTTACACAGATCTCATGTTTGACTCCTGCTTTCATGTTGTTTAATGGACATTTTTCATGAGTAAGGCATGCTTAATATTTTGGAAATATCCCTTCTTTATTCCTGAGCAGGACTTTAGAACATCTAAAGTGAAATAGTTACTGAAGTATCTATGGTAGGTTTAGGATCAAAGCATAGGGACTTTGTGAGAAGTTTAGCTAGGAAAGGGTAGAAGACCACTTAGCAAAATGCATCATATTCAGTAAAACGGCTAAATCTTTATATTGAGTCAAATCCTCAAATCCCTATTTGATTTTTTTTTACAGAGGATGTAAACGAGCAGCCCAAGTAAACAGTTCAGGGTTTTGTTTTTTTAATTTTTAATCATGGCTATTTCTTAATCAGCTATGCAACTGTGGAAATTTGCATTTTAAATATGCAGTGCGAGATGTGTTGCCCCAAAGAGTTTTAATTCTCCACCTAAAAATTCAGACTTAGTAATTTTATATTGCAGGTTTCCTATAATCTGGGATATAAATGTATGGAGCTTCATCTAGCAATGCTGGTGGCAATGGGAGTAGGACTCGGGCCATACTTTTTCTGAAAGGAGCGTACATTGCTCTGTGATACACCATGCCAAACATGGGGAATAGTACTTTCTTCCTAATTTGTCATCTAATTGCACATAGCTAATTGCATTTGAAGCCACAGCTTTCTCTAACAAAGCCAAAATACTCCTCCACGCCACAGCAGGGTCTCTTCCAACATGTAACAAGAATGTTTGGGTATAAAAGATGTCAAATTAGTATTATATGATGAAAAGAAATTAGATGAACCACATGCCCAGCATCTGTATAGTCTGTTCCCTGAGACATTTGGAAATTAACTCTGTGTTCAGGAGATGCCAATGTTTCTAGTTACACAAGATCACTTCAGGATCCCAGGTATTTCAAAAGTAATGGAAAGCAGGAGGGTGCAGTGTTTCAGCCTCAAACTAATAAGTGTTGGACACCCCTGATCCCTTGTTCCTATGAACACAGCACAGACGTCAATGTGCTCATTAGCAGTGTCCTAAAATAAAGCATACGTTTTCCTGCCATTTTTAATGATGTACTGTTTAAATGTTCCCAGAGGGAAAACAGACACACCCTAGGTATTGAACAAAGCTACATCAACACAGTCATTCTACTGCACAGGCTCACTCTGAACATTTTAAAATCCTAAGCTCTCCTATATGGTTTGTGGTAAGAGAAAGGATATTTATTCTCATGTTTACTTTGAAAAATATGGACTCTGCCATTTTTAATGATGTACTGTTTAAATGTTCCCAGAGGGAAAACAGACACACCCTAGGTATTGAACAAAGCTACATCAACACAGTCATTCTACTGCACAGGCTCACTCTGAACATTTTAAAATCCTAAGCTCTCCTATATGGTTTGTGGTAAGAGAAAGGATATTTATTCTCATGTTTACTTTGAAAAATATGGACTCTTTCCCCAAAGAAAATGCCAACCATCATTTAGCTCTTTAAATATTTATCATGAAACAAAAGCCAAAAATCTTTGTTGTTTGTAGGCAATGAGAGATGTGTTTCAAAAGGTAACAGATTATCAAGACCTGAGACAAACAACAACTAGAGCTGGTTTGGGTATTTTCGTATGGTTGTGATAATGAGAAAAATGAAATAGGAAATTTCCTCAGAAAATTAATAGC